GAGAGGGAGCAGAGTCGGCGTGTCACCCTGAAACCCAGCCCAGCAGCACCCACGGGGCACGGGGCAGTGCCAGGAGCAGGCAGCTGGCAAAGGCTCAGCCCTGCCAGCCCACAGATGAGCTTGAAAGCTGCACCCCCCTCCCCCTTCTGACCCTGCCAGGCTGGAGAGGGAGCTGCTGGACTTACAAGATGTACATGATGACACCGAGGGACCACATGTCACAGGACTTGTCGTACTTCTCCGGACCCAGCACCTCTGGGGCTGGGGAAAAGAGAAACCAAAGCCCCGAGGGGTCAGCGAGCAGCAAACCCAGCACCCACCTGCCCCCAAAGAGGCCCCAGAGAGGAGCCACCCCCACGCCAGGCTCCGGGCTGGATGCAGAGGTGATGGGCTGTGCACGGCACCATCCAAACCACCCCGGCTCTGCCCTCCAGCCCTGCCAACCCCAGCAGGCTCAGACCACCCTGAGCACTTACCCACGTAGTAGGGCGTGTAGCACGGGGTGGCCAAGGAGTTGTGCGTGGTGGTTTCCTTAGCAAAGCCAAAATCTGTGAGCTTTAGCACAGCGTTGGGCCTTTTGGAGGTGTACAAGAGGTTTTCTGGCTGTGGAAACACAGGGAAGAAGCAGTGAGCAGAAGGGCTGGCACAGCCTGGGCACTGCCCCGGGCTGAGGGGGGCTCAGCACCAGGGGTGGGCACACAGCATGGCACCTTCACGTCCCGGTGGGCGATGTTGATGGAGTGCAGGTACTGGATGGCCTCCCCGATGCTCTTCATGATCTCTGAAGCCTCTGAAGCAGCAAAATAAAACCCATCAGAAGCCTTTATAAGCAAGTTACAACAAGCACCACTCCCTGGGTTACTGTACAAACCAGAGGCCAAGGAGCCTGGCTGAGGTCAGAGGGGTTTCCTCTACCTGAAGTCCCCCCTTCCAAGCTGGGCCCCCCCAGCACCCATCCCTGGGCCAGGAGCCTGCAGCAATGGGAGAGACACTCCGAGGAGGAGAGATGGGGGGAGCTCCAGCCCTTGGCCCCAGTACCAACCACACATGCCCCAGGGAGGGGCTTGTTCTGGGATGGGGGAGCTGACCCAGCCCCCAGCACTGCTGGGACCCCAAATCTGCAGGGAAACCAGCTGGGAAAGCTTTCCCCAATGGATGGGAAGCCAAGGGAGGCAACAGACTCAAGGTTTGAGTTGTGCAGATGTTTTTCCTGGCCACAGGAACAGAGGGGATGAGATTAATGAGGTCTGTGAGAACCACAGCCCCTGGACTTCACTGTTTGAGTGAGGTGGGTGCTTCTGCAGGTCACTGTGCTGGAGAGGGACAGACAGGGCATGGAGACAGCAGAGGAAGCATCCCCTAATGCTGCTCTCAAGTGAGCATGAAAAGCAGCCCACTCACCCCCCTATTCCTCACTCCCCAAGTGCAAAACCCTACTGAGGATTCAGAAGAAAGATTGTGGGAACAGGCTGGACCAGAGACACTCCTATGAACACCAAGACATGGCCCAAGGCTGAACGCCCAGGGCCCTGCAGGCTCCGTACCCCGCTCTGTGAAGGCCTGGTCACCCCGGTCCTGGATCCTGCTCAAGAGCTCCCCACCATCCAAGCTGGAAGAGAAGCAGAGGGCGTTAGGTGCTGCAGCTCCCACGGCACTGAAACCTCTGATGCTCAGTAAGAAACAAACCCCTTCTCCACCCGAGCCCCTGGGTCGGTGCTTGTGGGCACGGGGCGTGTCAGAGCCTCCTCCTTCCAGACAGGAGCAGGGCAGAGGCCTCACTGCAGCAGATGTGGTCTCCCCACCAGCCCACGGAAACACATTTACAGTAAAGAGAGCAAACGTGGCTCGAATGTGGCTCTGGGTAGGCCTGGCCTCCTTTAGCTCCCCAGCCAACCACCCTGCTCATCCCCTGCAGAAGTGCTGAGCAAAGATCGCGGCACGGGCGAGGTGTCAGCAGCACCCAGATGGGCTCCTGAGTGAGAGGGGGGAGGCAGAGACTGAGCTCCTCTGCAGCAGAGCGAGCTCACAGGTAAGGCCTTGGAGAAGGACCATGGGAAGGTTGGTGCAGCTCCTTCCCCAGCCAAAGGCTCTCCAGGTACCCCGAGGAAAAACTCAGCTCCCAGGGAGATCAGGAGGGAGATCAGGGATAACTCTCCATGAGAACAGGGCTAAGGGTGCTTCCTGTCCTGCCTCATCTAACTCCATCAGCAATGGCTCTGCCTTCCCCAGCACAGACAGCATCTCCTGCCAGCACCCTCCACGTCTGCTGGACACCTGCAATCCAGACAACCCCCACACCCCAGATCCCCACTGCTCCTCACACCCACCACCCCCCCGGGCGACCTACCGGCTTGCCAGAGGAGAGGTTTTGGCAAGGAAGCTGCATCAAATCACAGCTGCGGTTGGGATGTGGTTTCAAGACTTTCCCCTTCATTCCTCCTCCTCCTCCCCAGGTTATATCAAACATCTACCCAAACCAGAGCCACCCGGCTGCTGCTGCAGGAGCAGCCTCAGCTGATGTGCCAGCCCAGCTCGGCCACAGGCTGCCCAACAGACCCCCCCACAGGCTGCCAGGTCCCCCAATGACAACCAAAGCGGGTTTGGTTCTGATCTCTCCACAGCAAGAACCAGGGGCCCCCAGCACCCCAAGAGCCCAGGGAGTTTTCAGAATGCCTCAGAGCCAGCACAGGTCCCGTGGGACCTCGTCCAGGGCTTCCATCCCTGCGGCTCGAGGCTGCCTCCCCCTGCAGCACCTCCTCGGGGTCCCCAGGAGTCTGCTCACCCCCCTTTTTTGGCACTGTCCGACCACCTCTCAGGGCCAGGGCTGCTGCAGCAGGGACTCACCACTCCATGACGATGAGCAGACACTTCCTCCCCTGGTAGAGGTTCTCGTAGACGTCCATGATGCGGACGATGTGCGCGCACTGCGACGCCCTCCAGTGCAGCTCCACCTCCCTGCGGGCCTTCGGGCAGTCCTGCAGCATCTGCACGAGGAGCAAGACCCCGTCAGCCCCCAGCCCCCCGGGGTGTGACACCCAGAGAAGACTCGGGGCCAGCCCCAGGCGTGGGTGCTCTCTGTGGGCAGCACCCAGCCGAGCTCTGGTGTGCTCTGTGCAATGCCTCCATCCCCATCTAGTAAAGAGCTTGAAGCCACCCGCCCCCGGGACCTTCTTGCCCTCCCTTCCGAGGCTGCTAAAAGCTTATCTCAGCTGCCTGACTCCTCTCTGCCCCCCAATATGCCTCCCTGGTGCCCAGCCAGCCTGTGCCACCAGCTAGCCACGCTTCTTACTGCATTCATGAGCAAGCTTCTGCACGCTGGTCGCTACACCACAGCACCCCAGGTGCCACCAACCATCCTTGCTCCCCTCTTTCCAGCCCCCCACTAGTGCTGCCCACCCTCCACCTCCTGCTCGTGACCCTTCTGCTCCACAGGACTGGCAGGACCCTCCTGCTCTGTGCCCTTCGCACAGGCTGAGCACAGAAACACCCTCTCTGCAGCTTCAGAGGCCACCAGCAGCACCCAGCCACGCGTGCCTGGGGAGGGGACAAAGCAAAGAGCCAGATGTTCCCTAAATAGCAGCTTTTCTCCCAGGCAGCAGCAGCTCTTTAATGAGGCCCTCGCCCTTCCTGGAGACAACTCTCAGTTCCCAGGTGCAGGAAGGATTTGCTCGTCTGCCATGCACTATTAATTACCATGTTTGTCAGGATAAACAACCAGCCTTAATTATTATACTCCTAAATATAGAGCAACAAACGTGTCTATCTTGAGCATAGTTCATTTTCCTTCCTGTCTCCAGGAGCTCTTGGGGCTGGGCTCAGGGAAACTCCCCGGAGCAGGGCTGCAGCTCAGTGCAGTGAGCAGGGGCACGTGGAAACACATCCCACCCCCACGCACATCAGCGGGGGAAAAAGACCCAGGTTTGGTCATTTTACCAACACAGAGATACACTTCTTGCCCCTCTGCCCTCACCCAGGGCTGCTCGGTGAAGGAGAGCACCCAGCAGACAGGTGGAGGAGCCTCAGCCCCTGGGATGCTTCGCTGGCCTGGCAGGACCCAAAACGGTGCCTGGTGCATGGCCAGGGACCCTCTGCTGCAGGGGGGACCTCACAGGAGCAAGGGTTAATGCTTGCTGCACCCCCAGAAGATGCTCACTGCCTGCTAAGAGGTGAAGCTCTCGCTGCCCTGGCCCAGGAAGGGCAGTTGCATTCCT